AATGTAATGTGTGCTGGAATAAGCTTTTCTGAGTGCCAAACATTGTACTTTTCAATTTACAAGTATATCTGCAGCAGCGTTCAACAAATATTATTCATTTCCTAAATATGTCCTGTAAGAGAGTCTGGTAAAGTGTTATTGCTACTGTAGTGTGGATGCCAGAAATTGTGTCATGGTCTCTCAGCAGCAGCAAGAATATTATTTTTTTTGCTAGCTCTCCAGCATGTTGGCCACATCACAAATTGACTTCGTTGTAATGCTAAAAACATTACAGCCTGCTACTTTCTTGTAAACACATTTTCACCTCCAGCTGAACTACTGAGTTCAAATGTTTCAATCACCATAGCAGTATTAAGTTTTGAGAGATCAGCCTTAATTTGGGTCCAATGGTATATGTATCAAAAGGAGTTAATGGCCTTTGATTGTGGTGGTGAAGTGGATGGCCCAACCATCTGTGCAGAGAGAAGAATTGTAATTTAGTGCCTTAGACAATGTAAGTTGGTAAGAAAAGCAGTGAGGGAGGCAGAACCATGGGATGGTCGTACAACTAGACAGGCGGATGTGCTGCAGGAGAGAAGAGGACAAGAGGGACACAAAGAGGGGAGAATCAATGACATGAGCATCGTTGGCAGGAACTAGGGAGGGAGGGGAAGGTGTGATTATTTAGTAGTAAAGGAGCCATAAAGTATTTCATTTCCCTGTTTTCCAACCTTTTCAGAATACCACTCACTTGATATGCTGGTCTCTTGCAGGATGGCTGCGCTGATAAGATGATGTAACCATAAAAACAAACAAGCAAACAAAAGCAACCCCCAAATAAGCAAATATGAGATGAGTCTAATACTGATGAGGGATGAGGAAGTGTAAATGGTGCTGCACATGCATGTGATGATTAAATTGGGGACAATATGACATGCTCGCCATAAACTTTTTGGGCGAGAGAAGCCAGAAGGAGGAACTGCCTGAGCTAAGGGACAGTGGTAGCAAAAAAGAAATAAGTAGGAACTAATTTGAGTATATGTAGGTTTAATATTTGAAGCTTTCAAGCTGCAGCAATAGGAGCCTCTAGAAGAGGCTCTGTGTGGCTCTCACTACTTGCATTGTGTTGTCCATGCTACCCCTAACTAGTTTCATGACAAAGAACTTGCTTATCTATAAAAGGGCTGTGGTTGCCTGTGAAAGCACTATATGGCTACATTATTCAAAACAAATAATTGATCTATTTGTAGTTATCATCTGAATGCAAAGCTCCTGAACTGTCATAGAATAAAGAATCGAGTTTCTAAAAGGTGCATTGAACCTGCAACGATCGTGCATTTTATGTTGACCTGAGAGTTCGTTTCTATTTTTCATACATGGTTTGTTTACTGTAAATAATAAACAATATCCACTTTTAAGTACATACAAACTAAATATTTTACTAGGTGCAGTAATCTAACAAAGCTCTTGGTCTGTTGAATGGATGTTTATTTCATATAAAAATATGCCATGTTTGGCTATCAGATTTTTTAAGTTGTGTAATACAAGTGTGCCTTTTTATTTGGATTTTGGTTTTATGTCCTTTTTCAGATACTACTTGCTTAAGTTTTTTCAAGGGGCTCTAATGCTCAGTTTCCAGAGTCCTTTATTCCATGAACTGAAAAATGCAGTTGAAACCAAATCAATACTACTCTTTCTCTGTCTCAAAATTACTACTAAAGAAAACTAAATATAAGTAACGCATCTGTGTTTCTCCAAAATATATGTTGCTGCATGGCAACAAAGCACCTCTGGATTCAAATTGCAGCCCAGTAGTTTCAGGGTCATGATGTTCTGAGCTCCATGGAAAGACATATTTGGTACAGGAAAGCTGTTGATTCTTACTGCATTCTTTAATTTCACTGCATGACATCACCCTTACTGAGTTAAGAACATGCTTATTGGGAAACACTTCTGCATATTTATGCAAAAGTCCAGCAATACCTGAATGCTTCAAATGCTCAATATTTTATAAGGTTCTGAGATTTCTTCATACTTTTCAAAGTAGAAATTGCAGCTTACGGTATTGTTAGTGCTCAGGATTCTCCTGTTTCCTTTTTCTTAAATGTCTTCAGACAGAACATGTCCTGTTGATCCATTGACATTTTGCTCAATTAAGAATATGACATTTTGTTCAATGAAGAACACTACCTAAATTTCCCTGGAAGTTTGTGAATTTGTTTTGAGCTTTCTGTCTTTAGAAAAACTTAGAGATTATGCTTGCTTGTTCCTGGAGAAAGTCTAAATAAGCCACTGAGAAAAAGTATCCATTTTGCTTCTGTGGGTCTTTATATTCTGAAAAGTGAATGCTTTGCCACTTACAGAACATTAGGACATGGTGGTGGTTTTTTTGCTGGTTTGTTGGTTTGGTTTTGGTTTTGTTTTTTTTTCCCTGCCTGGATGTGAAGGACAGATTGTAGTTATTGTTGGTATTTGTTTTATCTAATTTTCAATTGACTCTTTCTTACTTTGCAGCTTTGCCCTGTCAGATGAAGCATACCGATCTTTAAGGGACCAGGACAAAGACCAGTGTATCCTTATTACAGGAGAGAGTGGAGCTGGAAAAACAGGTAATAAGCGGTTTTGATCTTATTCAAAAACATTCAGACTTATTTGGAGTCTTGCGAAGTGATGCTAGAGTCTGTAAGAGTTGAGAGATACTGGTATCTTTTTGTGTCTGGCGATTGCAGAAAATGGATGCTGTCACACTTGTTGCTGTAGCTGTGAACTTACATAACCTAGTGTTTTTTCACATTGTCACCATGATGCAGTCCTATCGTGTGTTAATGCAGTATCCTCATCAGTATATAAAGTCATACTAAAGAAATGCTGGTTTGTGATAGAGTATTGCAAGGGCCATAAAACTTCTAGGCTCTCCCTGTGGGAAACGTGAAGATGGAGAAAACTGAATACTCTTGGTCTTCTAGACTGGAAGACAATCCTTTGATACTTTTGCATGTCTTTTAATAAACATATACATTTAAACTGGATTATGCCATTTATCGAAGGAAAATAAATAATAGTAGCTGATTACTTTGGAAATTTCATCAGGCTTTTGCATGCTGTGCTCAGCTGCAATTCTAAGATTGGCTTGTGTACCAGAACACTGTGTTTCTCAGGCAAAGCTGAAATTGCCTTGAAAATGGCTGCTAATTTTTAAACTAGAATGGTAGAAATCAAGTGAGGATTGCATAACTGCAGAATATCTTTGGTAGACCTTAAAAAAGAAAGAAGCTATTTTTTTTCTGAAATAACAATTTAAAACTGAGGTGACATGCAAAAGACACAGCGGGTAGAAACGCACACCTCTGTTTCCATGTAATTTAAGAGATTTTTCCTTTGAATCTGAGAAAATGTGGAGCTTCGTATGCTTATACTGAGCAAGACTTAAAGTCAGTAACAAGAAGTTGCTTTCCAAGCCTTTTGTGAAAATGTAAAGTGGAGCCTTCATCTTTATTTTTCTTTGTCTGATTAGTGGCATCCAGTTGAGAGGTCTTGAAATCTTGTAATATAATCCTTTTTTTCAGTTCAATAACATGAAAACACGTGTGTGTTCAGTAAAAGTGTATATTAAAATAGTCAAATTCTTATTAATATGATTGTTAGGGAGTCTGTCTAGGAGTTCAAACTTTAGAAAGGAGTTCTGTACTGGTATTGTTCAATGTCTTGATTTCCTCAGGAACTGTGAATTACCAGTTATACAACTGAGGTTCACCTTTTATTCATTTATTTATTCAGTTGAAAAGTGTAGCAGTGGCTGACTTTCTGAACTTCTCTATTTGTAGAGAATATTCTGGTAGATTCAGATTTGTGCAGAGATTTTGACTGTTCTGTAATTTTCATAGCCATATGGAACATAATATGAATTAATTCTTTGTAAATGTAAGTAAAAAATAATATAGGGTTTGAAATTCAAGTCAATAATTGACTTGGAATCCGTGCTATTCTCTCTCTAACGTTTGATGTAACTACTGTTGCTGAAATGGGGCTATTATAGCTGAGAAGTCAGGTTTCCATTGCAAAAAAAAAAGAGGGGGACAGGGGAGGAAGTTCCTGGACTTGAGGAAACCAACTTGTTTAGTACAGACCCTATATAACTGATTTAGATTTTTGGTAGCCAGAACATTTGACGTGTTTGGGCTGGAAGAATTGAAACGGAACTGTCAACAGTTGGGATTTTTTTAATTTACTTCCAGTTTTGTTCTTGTTTCGCTGCATGTTTATATTGCTGTTCGATAGTAACATTGTGCAAGAAAACATGGTACGTTACCAGAATGAGTGGTGTATTTAAACGTTTTTAGATGTTAAGGTGATGATTCCCCTCCTGGTGTCTTTACTGGACCAGAGTTCCTAATAAAAGAAAGGGCTTTTATTTTCTTTCAGTGATGTTCAAAGACTATCTTGAAGTCATTGTGTATTGTCTTACTGCATATTATTTTATAATACCTTATTTGCTGCTTCAGTGCTTTCTTCTCTCAATGATTGAGTAGCTCTACTTAAAGATGTTGACTGTTTTAGGAAATATTTCAAATCAAATAATTTGGTAATTTCAAGCTCTGAAGGGAATGGATTCTTAAAAATGAGATCTGGGTTCGAGGTGCGATTAAAGGGGATGGGAGGCCTTATGGACACACCTATTGTTCTTGCTCCTTGCTTGCTTCCTGTGTTGTAGGTTTGCTAGTTTTCTCTACAATATGGGATAGTAATTTAATACTAGCAAACAAATTTGATTAAATAGGAAAGAATCGAAATCCAAGGGATAACTTCTTGTTTCTCAGTTCCTTCCTGAAATGAAACCCTTAAATTTGTAACAGATCTCTGAAGAACAAGTAATGGGTTTTTTATGACCACTGTGTTCAGTTGATAGGGATTCCAGCTGTTAGTAATTACACTGTATATCAGCTGATATTGCCTCAAATTTCACTCTCTTGCATCATACTAAACATCACAGACTCTGTTTATAAACAGAATCCTCTTTCAGCTGCTCTTTGTCCTGACCAGCAAAAACATAAGGGTTGGATGGATTATTTAATATTTGTTTCTATCTGTATATGGGTAATTGACACCCATATGAACCCAGCTTTGAAAGTCCAAAAATTGTTCCAGACTTTGTTAAAAGTTTGTACCTCCAAATTAGCTTCATTGTTTAAATGAATGCTTCACTTTCTCTATTCATTGTACTTTGAAACAGACTGCATAATGTTATGTGATGTTGAACTGCAGTTATTTACTTGTGGCGTACTTTACAGTTGTAATTACATCTGTATAGGTTTGTATGTTTACACTTATGTTATTGTGTATCTGCTGATATAAACTGATTTAATTTTGCATCTTGAAACTGCTTGGGCCTATTCTTTCAGGCTAGATTAAAACATTTCCAACATGTCAGCTAGGGATAATGTTCTTTCCTCACTGAATGCCTCTTACTGAGGCTAAATGAAACAATAGCGGGTAATGTGCCATATCCACTGGTGGCTTCTCTAGCTTGGGAGGGCTCTAGGTATTTAAGTCAATAGGGCTGCTGATGTAATGGCATAGGTCTCATAGCAGGTTATGCTCCTTCCTCATTTCCAGATGGTACAACAATGCAGAAGAAAACTGAAATGAAATGTGCTTACAGTTCCTGTCTGGTGTGATGAAAATGTGATGAAGATCAAGTCTGCAAATAATTTTATGGCCTATTTGACAATACTTATCACTGTTTTATTTTGCTCTCCCCCCACAGAGGCGAGCAAACTTGTCATGTCATATGTAGCTGCTGTGTGTGGAAAAGGGGCAGAGGTTAATCAAGTAAAAGAACAACTTTTGCAGTCAAATCCAGTTCTTGAAGGTAAGAATCTCATAGAGCATATATGAGTGTGTTACCTCTGTGTGTATCATCTTTCCTGCTTTTTTTTTTTCCTCGTTCCGTCTGAGGTGGTTTGGAAAAATGTAGCTGTTGTTATTCCATTGTTATTTGGTGTCCAAAACCATAGGAGATGCTTTCTGTGAGACCATTGCAAGATTTTATTCAGTTATGGAGAGGTTCTCTTGAGAACCCAGGGAACTACAGGCCTGTCAGCCTGACCTCGGTGCTGGGGAAGGTTATGGAGCAGATCATCTTGAGTGCCATCGTGTGGCATGTACAGGACAACCAGTTGATCAGGCTCAGTCAGCATGGGTTTATGAAAGGCAGGTACTGCTTGACTAACCTGATCTCTTTCTATGACAAGGTGACTTGCTTAGTGGATGAGGGAAAGGCTGTGGATGTTGTCTGCCTAGACTTTAGTAAAGCCTTTGACACAGTTTTCTACACCATTCTCCTGGAGAAACTGGCTGCTCGTGGCTTAGACGGGTGTACTCTTCTCTGGGTAAAAAACTGGCTGGATGCCTGGGTCCAAAGAGGTGTGGTGAATGCAGATAAATCCACTTGGCGGCTGGTCACAAGCGGTGTTCCCCAGGGCTCAGTTTTGGGGCCGGTCTTCTTCAATATCTTTATCAATGACCTGAACAAGAGGATCAAGTACACCCTCAGTAAGTTTGCAGACAACACCAAGTTGGGTGGGAGTGTTGATCTGCTCGAGGGTAGGAAGGCTCTGCAGAGGGACCTGGACAGGCTGGGCTACAGGCTTGGGGAAGAGGGGCTGGAAAGCTGCCTGGCGGAAAAGGACCTGGGGGTGCTGGTTGACAGCCGGCTGAACATGAGCCGGCAGTGTGCCCAGGTGGCCAAGAAGGCCAATGGCATCCTGGCCTGTATCAGCAATAGTGTGGCCAGCAGGAGTAGGGAAGTGATCGTGCCCCTGTACTCGGCACTGGTGAGGCCGCACCTTGAATACTGTGTTCAGTTTTGGGCCCCTCACTACAAGAAGGACATTGAGGTGCTGGAGCGTGTCCAGAGAAGGGCAACGAAGCTGGTGAAGAGTCCAGGGTGCAAGTCTTATGAGGAGCAGCTGAGGGAACTGGCGTTGTTTAGCTTGGGGAAGAGGAGGCTGAGGGGGGAGACCTTATTGCGCTCTACAACTGCCTGAAAGGAGGTTGTAGTGAGGTGGGCATCAGTCTCTTCTTCCAAGTAACAAGCAATAGGACAAGAGGAAATGGCCTCAAGTTGTGCCAGGGGAGGTTTAGATTGGATATTAGGAAAAATTTCTTCACCGAAAGGGTTGTCAAGCACTGAACAGGCTGCCCAGGGAAGTGGTTGAGTCACCATACCTGGAAGTATTTAAAAGACATGTAGATGTGGTGCTTAGGGACACGGTTTAGTGGTGGACTTGGCAGTGTTAGGTTTACGATTGGACTTGATGGTCTTAAACATCCTTTCCAACCTAAAGGATTCTATGAGAAGAAAACTGTTTCCATCATAAAGCGAGAGCTTAGGAAGTTAGGTCATATTTCCCAGACTCCTCCTGCTGCTCTCTGAGGGCGTACCCCTTCTTAACCCTGCCTTGATGATGCTTGGCTGTATGAAAAGACTTAACTTCAGTTCAGTCCCTTTGATTCATTTCCTTCCAAATTGTATTATTATAGTCTCTAGTAAACAAACAAGCTCTGTAAAGCATTATTTTTCTTTTAGAAAAAAAACAAGTGAAGAAATGGATCTTAGAAAAAACTAAGCCAATCCATATGCATGCCTGTTCCCTGAGACTTATTGTTCCCTGGGTCTGGTGACTCTGTTGGCCCGTCTTCCTGACAACTGCCTTTCCTGCTCTCCCATGAAAGACTTCTTATTTTTTAATTAGTCATTTTAATTTAAAGACGTTGGCTGCCAGAAACAGGATCTTCATTTTTCCTGGAGATAGGATATATGATCCTCAAAGCTTGCAGTTTTGTCCCATTGTCTAATAAATGCCTTCAGAAGTGCCTTGTTTAGCACTGACTTATTGAGGTCTATTGTGTTGATTCCTGGCTCGGTCTTTCCCACAGTTCTCTAAGCTATTGTGGTGCAGAGACAAATTCTCATGACTGCTGTACAATAATTTTGCATTATGGCCAGATGATATGCAATGTTTGTAAGACTGTTGAGTGTCAACATTTTATTTATTGCCTAGCTATCTATACGTATATGCGAGGATTTGGAGTCTATAGGGAGCAAGCACTCTATGTATTATACATGTGACAATGGCATGGGGAATAAAAAAAAGGGAAGGGAATGCAAAAGTGGGCTGAGAGCAGTGGTGAACTGGATGGGTAAAATATAGTCATTGACTGTACACAAACCAAAAATTGTAAGCAAAGACTTGTAAAGACAGGATGAAATGTTAAAATTTAAGAATAATAAAAATGCTGGATAAGCCTTTCTTTGATGATCAGATATGTTCCACTTAAAGCTGAATGGGGGGATTGCAATCTTCCATTGTTTTGGATTCACAGCGAAGAGCTGTGTTGCTTTTATCACTGTCCTGGAAGGCAGATTTCAGATGTAGAAAGAAATAGTATGGGAAGTATGGATGCTTTTCTTGCCAAAGCCAGGTTTCTCCTCAGGGGCTGCCAAATTTATTGGATTTCTTTTCGGTTTGTGAATCTTTGTTTTAATGCAAGAGGAATAGAGTAAGCTTACAGAAGAGTACTTTATCATTTTAAGGTATTATTGTTCTACTTGGTGCGGTGGTAACTGTCTATTTAGCTTTTTGGAAGGTAGTACACTGGATTATTCCACGAGGCTGCTGAGCAAGCTTGGCTGCTTATATACATTTTAGACAGAAATTAAGCATTTGTGGTTAGATTTGTTTTTCTTTGGTTATGTAGTTCTGTTTCAGTCGAGCTGCAGTGCAAGAACATGACATAAATGCTACATATGCATAATTTATCTTACGGGAGTTCTTTTTTTTTTTTTCCAAGTACAGTTGCTACTGTAAATTAACTTTTAGAAACAATGAACTTAAGGGAAAACTAAGGAATGTGTCTCATACTTTATAATGGGACATTTGTGCTTGATTCTGTGCAGTTATAAATGACTCTACTGTTCAGCGCTGTGTTTAAGAAAATGCAGCTCAGATTTGGTTGTTGAAAAGATGATTTATTGCAGGCATAAAGATTTTGAAAACAATTCTTTCACTTATCCTTGGCCTTCAGGAGCAACAAACTTTTCCTTTTGGCTTCAGTTCTTTGTTCAAGAATAAGTCTACTCATGCAAGTTTGTTGAAGCCTAAAAGCATGTATTTATTTCTGTCCAAAAAACATTGACTTGACTTGATCTTTGAAAAAATATATGCTATATAAATAAATACTGGGATAAATAAAGTCTCCTGTTGGAGTAGGAGTGCTATACTTAATAATGCAGGGGACACTCCTGTTTGATTCGGGGTGCTTTGACATTGTGCAATATTAAGAGCTTGAATTGTCCTCCAGTCTGAGTTCTTGTCCTGCCTATGTTCTAAGCTGGTGGCTGCCCATCTGAACATGGCCCTGGGAAGTCCTTTCTTGAAGAGTTTCATTGTCAGAAAACTTGAGCTAAAGAAATTAAAACCAAACTATTCAAAAAGCTGGTTTAGGTCAAGCTGAAGAGAGTGTTTTAAACTTTCTTTGTAAATCAGACTTATTTCAGCTGATTAATAGTCAGCTTAAGCTAGGATAAATGTGTTGAAATAGTGTAAATATATCAGTTTCAAAGCATTGATTAAACTGTCCCATGCAAACAATTATTAAGTGTCATCCTGTAATTTCTTCAGTTCTGGCCTCCATCTTTTACCATCTTCAGTTCTGGGAACTAAGATTCATTTCTTTCTTTGAACTGAAGAGAAAGAAGTGTTTCCTATATTTAAAGTTATTTGGGTAATCAAAATGTAAATTTCATTATTCAAACCCCAAGGATATATGCTCAATCCAGGTGCAGTTTTGTCTTGGAACCATTTCCCCTTGTATGTTTTTCTTTCACTTTTTTAAATAAAGGGAGTGTTGAGACAAAACTGCTTTGGACTTCTGTAAGTGTTTTTTCATTTGTGATCTTGTCTGTCACCTCCGTCTATCCCCAGTGACTGATACCCATACAATAAACAGAGTATTGTTTCTCAGAAGTCTACGATTCCTTTAAATATATAAACAGTCAGAGATAATTTAGCATTTAAATATTTTTTACTGGTAGATTTGGTTGTCATATTTGTTTTTCTCTTTCTCCAGCTTTTGGAAATGCCAAGACCGTGAGGAATGACAACTCCTCTAGATTTGTAAGTATTTTCTTCAAGGCTGAATTTGAATTCTTTTTAGGGGAGCACGTTATGTTGTTGGCTGTTTCTGTTTTACCTTGTATCAGCCATCAAGGCATCTGTAAGGAGGGAATGAATAATTTGGAGAGAGAACTTTCTTGTAGTTGTCTGAGGACCGTGATGTTTGGAGGAGGCAAACACCTTCAGAAGCAATCAATATTTCATTTTGTACATTCGAGCCTGTTCTCCTTCCCCAATGTGTTAGTAGTGCATGATTAGCAGTCACCCCTGTCTTTAAAAGGTGCTTCATCTCCTTGTCAGAAATCTTGTTTTCTGATGTGGGCATAGAGTTCTATGGAGAATCAAAGTAGAGGTTAAAAACAAGGATGTGACAGTCTGTGACTGGATGAAAACGTAATTACAGCGCAGCTGGATTCTTTAATTTTCTGGCACTGGTGCCTTTAATGTCAGTGACCACGTGCCTAGCAACTGGTCTGCTTAGCAAGTCGATCTTTCTGCGTGATCTCATTTTCCATCTATATGTATACATTTTTTTGTTAAAATTTCTACTTCAGGTTCTCATTTTCTCTCTATGATGTTTCAACCTGTGTTTAGAACTTCAGTTTTAGTATAAACATTTGTAGTGTTACTTTTTCGCTTGTATTCTTTATAATCAACTGATTGAATTTTTGAGTTTTTAGCATGAAACTGAATGTGAAATTATATGCATTGACAATTGCAAAAAAAAAAAAAAAAGTTGAAATTAGAGTTGGGATATACAGAAGTGTGAGTATTCATCATAGTTTCTCCTGCTAAAATCAGAAGACTGAATGCAACTTTGTAATTTGCTCACTTGTGTGCAGAAAAGTAATACAGAGCGAAATGTGTAAAGTAGACAACAGAAAGCAAATTAGTGCACTGGAAAAATGGTGCATTGTGAGTAAAAGCACATGGATAAAAGCCTGGGATATGGTGACACTGGAGAGCAGCTTTTTTCCCACATGGGAGACTTCTCTCCCCTTCCTTTCTGGTTCTGGAGGGTTGATGATACTGTTTCCACAGGGCTGCGCATGCTCCTTTTGCAGCTGTCATTGCCCCTGCTTGTGAACAGAGCAAAGGGTCTTCATCACAGGCCCTGCAGGCTCCACAGATGTCCACGCAAGCAAGGTCAGGGCCAAAATTTGAGGGACTGTAGAAATTTTTTTGTGGTAGAAAGGATAGAAAAACTGCAGCTGTCAGAGATGACATACTGCAGAAAGGAGGAGGAGACAGCAAAGAGGAGAAGAGGTGCCTTTGCAAACAGAAGTCTTTCCAGGACAAAGTGCAACCAACTAGTATTTTGCCTTTCAAGTCCTTGCTTATGAACACAAAGCTAAAAATACTTTTGGAAACATCCAGCTGGCCCAGCCCTTGGGAAATTAAAATTTAATTATCTGATTTAATTCTTTATCTCAGAAATTTGAATCAGCTCAGAATTAACTTCAAACAAGAAAGTACAAGTACTGTCCTGTCCAGCCTGCCTCAGCTGCCAGCAAGGAGAAGAATAGAGTTTAAGTAGAGTGAAGCCAATCTTGACAAAATACCCAGTAAATTAGAAAATATCTTTGAGGGAGTCAATGTAAAGTGCTTGTTTTTTATGTTCTGTAATTTAAAATCAAAAGAGAAAGAAAAAAAGAAAACTCTTCCTAAATGCAGTGAATAAGGAAGTGTAAACACCAGGCTTCTCTTTTCAATAGGTTGTTTTTGTCCTCTGTTAAGTAAGCACCAGAGGGTGGTGACATCATTTCTGTGTGGGGCTTGTGGGATTTGGTTGAATTACTACCAGCAGTTTTTATCTTTCCAAACTTCCTTGCCAATGTGAGCTGCGCTGCTTTTGCCTTTTCTACACGGTATGGGTCTGTCCATTTCGTTACTGTTAAACGTAGCTGTTACTACATAAACACTTGTCATATAAATTAAAATGATGCAAAGAGCAGAGCGATCTTCTGCGATATGGAAAAGTCAAACAGAAGTCAAGGAAACACACTGCGCCAGTACAGCTGAAAATGAAATCGCTTTTGCGGTGACAGTCTGTTAATTGTTGCCTCTGGTCTCCTGAGTTACGAGGCAAAGAGTTCAGTGGGAAATATCCATCACTTTTACAAGGCAGGCACATGCTTAGGGACAGACACCCCACGATTACTAACCGTAATCGTTGCCAGCCAGTCCTTCAAGCCAAACTGAGCAGCTATCCTTCAACTGCCTTGATTCATGCTCCGAGAAGACTTTACGCTGGGAAAACGAGTCTGCGTGGAAGATAATTTCTTCCTGCATCCTTCTGTTAATAAGCATAGTAATACCTACCTGGCCACAAGTATTGTTTGGTGTTCTTGGCGTTCTGGTGAAAGTTTGTATAACGTCCTTTTTCTTCATATAATCTTAGAAACTGAGCAAATTACTGGGTTGCATTACAAACCCGATTAAAGCTACTCTCGTGAAAATCTCTGGCTGTGATAATGCAGTTGTCTTAGAAGCTTTGAATCATTTTCTGTTTTTCAGAATTTGACGGAGTGTACAGGAGGTTGCCAGATTGCTCTTTTAGCCTGTAAAAATGACCAACTAACTTCTTAAAAAATGTCTTAAGCAGTTTTTCTTAAACAGAACTTATAGTCTTAAAATATGTTGCTTTCACAGGGAAAATACATGGATATTGAGTTTGATTTCAAGGGTGACCCGCTTGGAGGAGTTATAAGCAACTGTGAGTATTACTCTTGGTATCAGCATATTAACAGCTTCAATATTTTTTTCAAAAAGGAAGATGGTTAAATTATTGAAAAGATCAACTGCGTTTGTCTAATCAAGTCTCTCTCTATTATGTGATAAATTTTGTTTTTTAATTTTATTGTTGTTTTGTACCTTACAATAGTAAGGTACACTATTGCTGAATAGTGTGCCTTAGAGTAAGTGAAAACAGACTTGAAGAAGTAAGCATGAATAATGAATGTACTGTATTGTTTAAGAGGTACTGAGTAATGTGTGTGAGTTTGTATATTGTCTCCGAAGCAGGCAGCAGATAGATAAGGGTATCCGAAGCTCTTTTTATACTTGAATCCCTAGGATCAGTTGTGTTACTTGGTTTGATGGGTCATGAATTTATGGTAGATGATGTCTGAGATATGCTGTTTTGTAATTCCTAAGAGTGATACAAAGTATGCTGGAGAGCACCATGAGGTGGGTATGTTTATTTGGAACCAAAGTGTTCTGTACTAATTTTAACACACCTCACGGTGTAGGAAAAGGCTTGTCCTGAGAGAGGATGAACAGCTGTTGAGTTTAGGTGGCCTTGGAGGTTGTTACTTGACGTGAGGATGCTGCTACAAAATCTATAGCAATTCAGAAAGTTTAATCAGCTCTCTGTTGGGAAGAAAGGCTGGGAACTGAATGCCAGCCCAGGATGCTTTGACTTGCTTTCCTTTTGAGAATTTAAATGCAGCTTTTAAAAGAAATTGCTCTTCTGTGCTATATAAAGCTATGTTTGTTTTTCTTACTTTTCAAAAGGGATGGAGTAGGGCAGTGAGTGACTATACTAGGTGTCACTGACCTAGCCTTGACCTCTCTTCCCACTCAGCCAAATTCATCGCTGTTTCTAAAGACTGACTTTTGACTCCATTGGCATTTTACTGGTTGTGAAATAATGAGAATGATCCAAGGTGAACTGAACTCTCCAATATAAACATTTTAAAACATTGTGAAGAATTTTACACATAAATATATGTTTGGGGGTTTTGTCATAGGGCAAACATTTTTTCTGGACCAGGTCACCCTTTGGAACTGTGCCTGAAAGAGCATGATTTTTGTGACAGAGTACCTCTTGAAGCTCAAAGCAGTCACTGTTTAAGTGTTTATGGCTATCTATTAACTTTGACATTTGGCAGTCAACGAAATTAGAGGCCAAACATACTCAGTGTATTCATCAATAATGAAATGTGAAGAAAAAGGTTCTAGCAGGCTAGCTGTGTTGTTTGTTTCTTTTTATTTCACATTCAAAATAGATACATAAAAAGGAACCCTCCTTTGTAGAGTGGACATTCAACAGTTTGTTTTTGAATGTACTGTGCTGAGTCATCTAATTAAAATATTGTGTCATATCAAAAGGCAATCCAAATAGTTACTCTATAGTTTATCTGCCTTATAAATCTTTGCATGTTGTAATTATAACATTACATGTAATTATAATGATGTGATGACATATGTAATCAAGGGCAGACATATTTTTAGATCTTCCTAAAAGATGCCTATTTTAGCCATTTTCCCTGTCTTCTCACATTTAGTAAATAACTAATAGCAAGATGATGAATTTAAGTTTAAAAATAAAGACCTTATGTATAAGCCCTGTTGCGGAAAAGATGTTACTTGTTGAACTAGGAAACACCCCATACTTGACAGGGTATGTCACAGGTAAATACTGAGTTTCTGTAGCTGCATGTTAATATATCTCATCTTTGATTTAATGTTCACAAAATTTGATAGTCCATCCATCTCTCTTTTAAAACTGTACAGAATTCAAACTCTTTTAAGCAAGTTTGTTGTCCTGCCTTAGAACTTTTCCACACATCTGCAGCGTTGCATTGCAACAGAAATCCTTCTGTTGTGAGGTATCGCCATTCTGGAGATATCAGGGACTTAAATACTTTTACATCACTTACAATTTGCTCTGATTTTAGTCGTATTTAGGATTTGTCTTCTTAAGTGATCAAGTAAGAAGTTAAGGAGTGCTGACATTTTCTATCCTTAAAAGGGAAAGTATGATTAGTTTGTTCATAAATATTCTTTGCTTTCTGACCATCTGTTGGTTTGGTGTTAACATCATGTGAAGATGACAGCATAATATTTTGATTAAACTTTAATAGTTGTATCTGATGAACTTGATTTCCAAACATCAATGAAGTTAGTGGGCTTTTTGGATTGCAGCTTACGTCACCAAGCTGTAGTTCATACTGTGAGTGGCTGGAAGCAGACACAGTGAATATCTAGTTTATTTTGGTGGCAAGAAGGGTAATGAAGATAAGCTACTAATTTTATCCGACTGGTAAAGATAAGCAGAGACCCTTTAGGCTAAAAGGTCTTGTTTGAAATGGTCTGGTCTGTCCTACTCTGAAATGCTGTGAAGCTCTGTGAAAGGCTAGTCAATCTGCCTATGACCCTTCATGTTGCGGCTGATGCTATTGTGACCTTCCCTCGGGCCATTCTCCTGGTGCCCTTCAATGAGCTCTTACTTCTTAATGGCAGGGGTTCACCTACCAGTGAACTTTTCACGGGATGGAGCTAGAGGGTAAAATTATCATGACAATGCATACTGCATGTCTGTCCTGTCCAGTTTGCAGTGAATGTCCATTGGTTTTAGCAGGAGCTGATAGTTCTGAAATGTTTAATGTGCCGTAACTGGAAGGGTAAATCTTTTGAGTAAAATTAGAATGGGAATAACAGAATGGAAGGGATTGTAATGGAAGAGGTTTGTAACATCTATTAAGTCAGAACTAGTATGTTCCCAAACTGAAGATAATTTTATGTTTGAACAGTGTAAAATACGTATAGACTCATTACATGGCTGCTCAGAGCTTCTGAGTGCACTGATTTGTAAGGAATTTGACATATTGCTATATCATGATGTACCATCATAAGAAACTGAGAGTGGAAAATTTGAGATGAAAGTGATTTATGCAATCTTAAAGTATATTACTTCAGTCAGGAATTTTTTCCCCGTAGACTACAAAAGAAAAATTATTTCAGGTATCATGTGTTGTACTTGTTTGATCCTATGTCGGCAGCAACTGGGGCATGGGGGTGAGCAGGAGAGTGAAGATGGCTGAGTAAGCTGAGGTATGTGGTAAGCCCGAGTCGTTTGAATCCTCCCTTTTTGTTAGTTTTCTGTGAGAGTCCCAGCTTGTTTTCCTAATGGGTGGGAGATGTTGGAATCCATGTAAGGTGAGATGGGCACAGCCCTAGTGTTAGCTAACAGCCAGCCCATCCGTTCACGGGCTGACCTGTTTCATGTACGCGGGGTTAGGAAGCCCAAATTACTCTTGTGAGCTCTCCTGAACACTAAACCCTTGCTGTATTGTCACCTGTGACTGTAGATGTCCCACTGCTCTTTTGTAACAAACACCAGTCCCTGCTTAAAGGTATGCTGCGCTCTAAAAGGCACTTACAAACAGGGAAATTGCATTTACATTTTCTCTCACTGAATTGAGTATGAGGTGTATCTGCTCTTTCTGTCCTTCCGCGGGATGTTTACGGTTGCTGCTGTTGTGGTGAACACTCTTGTCAGCGCTTACGTGCTCAGAGGTTTTTTGCCAGAGCATTTGTGAAGAAAGGCAGTTGGAGCGTTGGGTAATTAACTTGCTTTCACCTGAGTGTAATGCTGTGGAAATATATTACGGAAACCATCGATACTATTCTTAGTTTTCCATTTATTATAACTACCATGCTAGCAGGGATGGGAGCAGGAGAAGGAATAGTAGTTTCTTTTACACCCATAATTACAGGATAGAATATATTTTATGTAAAAATGGCTATGTTTGTTTAGTAATAGGTGCTAATTGCAATAGCTTGTACAGCTCTAAAATACGACTCTCTATCCACAGATACTGCATCTGTTTGGTACTCAGGGCGATGTTTGTGTGCGCACTTGGTTCGTTAGTTTTGTGACTGGTTTTGTGTACACTTAATTTTATGGTTGAAATAGTTTTGCATGGTACAGACCAAAATGTTTCACACTTGCTGTTGTTTAGACCTTTTGAAAAGTAGGGATCTTCTGATATCTTTTCCAGAATATTTGTAAGTTGTAAATTTTC